TAAATGTAAATATAAATATAAATATAAATGTATTATTTAAGACAATGTCTTAAATTGTCTAGAAATACAAGTTATGTTGACTTGATACCCAGAATGATATGTAAAGTTAGCTGGTATAAGATAATTTTGAGGCATTGGGTTTTAAGTAATCTGTGTACAATTAAGATACTCAATAAAGGACTTAGGAATTTTGGAAGGATGAGAGTGGCCAGTTCCTTTTATTCCCCTGAATCTATTGCACTTAATGCTGTCAGAACAATTTCAATTAATAAAGAAGTCCAATATCCTCCAAAAGCATTTAGGATTTTCTCTTGTCTTACTGGATTCCCCACTGTGTGAAGAGTTGATGCTCGTTACAGGAAAAAAGAGAAAACAGTGTTAGGGATGAGAAAGAGACTAGCTAATTTACAATCTCATCCCACCAGTTGTGATTTACAAACTTTTATTTTCTTCCAAGGGCAAACTTTGTGCAAAAATGCCTCATGACAGTAAGGGAGATCCAAGAGCAAAAATTGGATACCTTTTGCTTGGCTGAAGTCGTAGAATATTGTTTGTAATAAAAGCTAAATGAATGCCATTTAAATACTTATGCATCATTCTAATCATTCTTTCTTTTTGTCTTTGGTTTTTCTTTTGGATTCATGAAAATACTTTCTTCAGGCTCAGGTAAGAGTTTCTTAAATAGAGAGATGACCTTAACATGTGCTTCCTGATTGCGCCCCAATGTTTACTTTGTCTGTTCTTTTTTGGTAATGTATTTTTAAGAAAATATATGGAACACTGTATAAATTATTATATGAGATACTGTTTCAAATTTGTATTCAAATCTAAACATAATACTAATGCTGGCACACAAATATGTTACAGTGATTTTAAGTATCCACAACGAAAACCAAAGTGAACCAGTATATATTGGTGTAATTTACCTTGAGTTCACCCCTCTTTAGAGGTTCAGAAACCCCACAACTGATAACAGTGGAATGGAATAGTTGAGGAAAGGTGTGAAGGATAGAACTAAAGTTTTAGCAGAGTTTTAGCAGTATTTTCCTAAAAGGTATACTCGTGAGATAGCCTAGTTACAGATTTTATGTTAGTTGTGTTGATATTATTGGTGGAAATGGCATAGCATGGGCTTAGTGGCAGAGAAAACCGGGGAATCTGTCATTAGATGTCTTAGCTTCTGACTTTTTGTTATTTCTGTAGTTTTCTTTCAAGTATTTCATCTGTATTATTACTACAACCTCTAAATCAGCAAGTTTATATTTGTTATTCTTACCAAAAAGAACGTTAACCTTTTTTTGCATGATCACTATTGCATGTTTATCTTACTTGTGTGCAACAAAACTGACACTCAATGTGGATTCCAGGTATATGAGGTAGTGCCCTGCCACAGTGACTGCAGCCAGTACGTATGGGTTACTGAGCCCTGGAGCGTCTGCAAGGTGACCAATGTGGACTTAAAAGAGAACTGTGGAGAAGGTGTTCAGACAAGGAAAGTCAGGTAAAACAGTATTGCTCCTCCTTCACTTTAGACAACCTTCACTTTCAGTCATGGCTGTATTTAGTTTGATGTAATTCTGTGTAATGTATAGTGTTAAGTCCAGTCACAGTATACTGGACCAGAACCCTGACTGATGTAAATCAGAATATCTTCAGTATGTGCAATAGGGCTCTGTCTACTGATTATGAATATAGACCTTGGTTTCTAGTTTATAAACTAATGTATATTGTACTTATAGTACTACAAACACTGTAACTATGATTTTAGTGCTTTTCTGAAAGATGGAATGGTCCTATTTCTATATGAAACTATGATTTAAAAAACGCTTTTAAGTACATATGCACTGGGGAATAAGAGTTACACTTATTACAGTAAAAGTGGCAAGAGTGAATAAAGTAAAATAGAAAAATCCAGAAATCTTTTGTTGTTTATTGAACCTGATCTAGCTATCTTGTATGCTTGCTCATCATCCTACAGCTCTAATCAAAGGTTAATTAAAATTACTCTCACATGGTGTGGTACAACAGCAAGTAAAGCAGTACACGGAGTTTGGGTTGGTTGGGGTTTGCTTTTTTTTTTTTAATGACTAACCGCAAAGTGACACAAAATTTGAGATTATAAATCTGAATAATAAAGCATAATGTGACTTCAGTTTGAAGGTCCAAAATTAGAGCTGTATACAGTGAACTGCTAAATGTTCTCTTTTCCCTGCCACAAGTGCTTAGAAACTCACACATTTACATGATTTTGTTCACAATAGCACTGTTTCCTCAGTGTAACTGTCTACTTCAAGAAGGTTGAAGTCTTAATCTTTGCTTGACCAAAGTTAGAAAGACTATGCATGACTGTTCTGACACAGTAGAATCTAAAAAAATTCCCATAGGAATACTCTTTAAAAAAAACCCTCCAATAGGAAAAATCAAAAATAATCAGCGTTTATGTTGAAAAATAGACTTTAACACTACCACCAAAGTTAAAGAGAGTGTTTTCAGTCCTTTGGGACTAAAAACATCTAACTTTTCATTTATTATCACATAATGCCATTAAAGTACTAATTCCACAAAGCTAATACCTGTTCATGCTGTATCTCTTGTGTTTATCTTGGAACAGAAAGTGTTTCAAAAATCAGTTTAGTCTAATAATATATTTGTAAAGAAATTGTGATCAAATGGAAGGAACTCTGAATATTTCTCTGTGTGTGAAAGGCTTGCTATTGATATGAGCTTTTCTCTTGGAATTCTGGAAAACAGATGCAAGCTTCTTAATTTGAATGATCCTAGTCATGTGCTAGTTGATGTCCTGCTGACAGGTGGAAAGGATAAGTTAACAGTAAATGCCACAGCACTGGAAGTACTGTGGAATGAAAACTGTCATCTTCAGCTCTACAAAACTAAGCATATAGGTTTCTCATCTTAACTAGGCCACCATCTGCTAATTTAATATAATGATAATTAAAAAGCATGTGTGTAAATTAGGGATTAATACTAAGAATATACAATTTTAAAAGTTTTAATAATTCCAGATTTAAAATTATCGCTTGAAGCATGCACAAAATGTGTCTAAACTATAGATGATTTGTGTTATTCTGACTTAGAGGTAAACTAATGTCAAGTAAATCACCTGCCCAGAAACTCTCAGCAAATCACTCATAGGGACTGTCTAAATTCTGTACATTTCTTTACACAGTTGTCATCTGTGAAAACGAGGATTATTTTTGGCTCTTCAGCTTTTCTTAGCTATTCATAGAGCAATACTTAGTTCTGTTACTTCAATTACTTCATGATTGTTATGTGCTGACACAATGTTATAATGCTTCAGAATACTGTGGAACACAATTACTGTACAAAATCCATGGCAAATGCAGTTTATGTGCAGTTCTTTTTTCTAGGTGCATGCTAAACACTGTGGATGGTCCTTCTGACACTGTAGAGGACTATCTCTGTGATCCTGAAGAGATGCCACTTGGTGCTAGAAAATGCACATTACCATGTCCTGAGGACTGTGTTATGTCTGAATGGGGATCATGGTCTCAATGTTCTTTGGTAAGAAGTATACTGAAGCATAACATTTATAGTTTTAGGAAGATACTTAAAAAATATATACATGATTTATTGTGCGAATATGCTGAACTGAGCAGTGTTTCTATGTGCTAATATCTATCTTTACTGTCATATTTAACATCGTTGATAGTTGGTTGCAAATAAAGTGTGCCAGTATTTTCCATTAAGTGAAATTGTTCTGAAACACAAAATGTAATGTCCCCAGTGATCATTCTTTGGCATGGGCTGGGTCCCGTGTGGTGGAATAGCTTTGATAGTGGCTTGTGAATCCGCCTTTGAGCCTAGCTGTGAGCCTTTCAGTAGCGGTGCAGTCATGGTACTAAAAATGTCACTATCCTGTAACGAGCAAACAATCTATCCTGTAGATCAAGGCTGAGCATAGAAAGATAATTTGGCGTCTCCTCTCCCCTTCCTGCCAGCAATTTCAAAAAGAAATGTCAAAAAAACCCAAACCAAACATAAAAAAGTATTTCAGGACCCCTGAGTATTTGGGCTCTGGTGCACTACGTTATAGTGCCTGGAAAGTGAGCTTCTCAATATGCAGTTTACGAGTGAAATAGTTCCAAAGCACTAGTACTGAAATATGAACTAGTTAGGAAAGTATCAAGGTGTGCCAAGTTAGAGGATATTTCACCTTGGGGTGGTACCAAGGTGAAAGAGCAGACTAAATTCTCTCTGGAGGAAATGGTCTCTCTTACACAACAGCATGAGCCCAATATTTTACATTCGTGTCTTGTGAAGGGATTACTTGAAAGGTTGTTACAATGTCGCATGAAAAGGTATCAGGATGCCGAAATATCAAAGCTGTTTCTGATCTCCCTTTCAAGCCATGCAATGGAAGTAGTGTCCGCAAAAGGTCAGGTGAATCCCTGAGACAACCAGATGATGGAAAGTCTTGTCCTGCTGCCACTGAGACAGAAGTGTGCACTTTGAACAAAAACTGCTACCACTATGACTACAATGTGACAGGTATTTGTGGTGTTATGCTCTAGTGACATCCTGGGACTGTGGCTTACTTCCATTCACCTTACAGGACAGATTTTTCAGCTTTCTATTCTTATTCAAAGGGTGCTGTGGAGCTTGTACTGAAAACTGATTCGGGCTATTTGATACAGATAAAATATTACTGGAGGCTTTGCAGCTTAGGTGAAGTGTGCATGCTGTAGCTCCAGGAAATGTGTTTCTCCTCTCATTTTGTGATTTGCTCAAAATCCATGCAGATGAAACCAAATATGAACTTTCCCGAGAGGCATCATGGTACTGACTATATGCAGTAAAAGTCACTGTTTCCAAAAATGCATAGCAGCTGGGCTCCATGAGCCTTTGCATGTGTAAAAGTTACTTGTGAGGATTATTTTAGACCATAAGAATCAGAACTAGGTGGGAGATTGGATCATTATGAGTTTTATCTAAAATGTCTGCTATGCTAACGAATTCCATATTTCCAGACTGGAGCACATGTCAGCTCAGCGAGAAGGCTGTCTGTGGTAATGGTATCAAAACACGGATGCTCGATTGTGTTCGTAGTGATGGCAAATCGGTTGACCTGAAGTACTGTGAGGAGGTGAGTGGGTACCCGTGAGTAAGCTCCCTTCTAATGATGCTAATTAATGCTAAGCCAACTGAGCTATACAGCACGTAGCCCATCTTCGCCATATGTTTTGCAGCACTATTCATGGATTGTTAAGTACCTCTGAAATGAACTGTGCCATCAACAGTGATTTTTATACAATTTCCTTCAGTTACTTCTAAGTGCCTCCATGAACGTATGCTAATTATTATGTCCTGAAGGAAATGACTTAGAAACAATAATTAATAAAGTAGAATAAAGGTAATAAATCTTAATCAAAACACTAATCATCATTCTAATTTGATACAATTTCTGCATGGAGCCTTGGACAGCTGCCAATATCAATCATTTACTCAATGTGTTGGAAAATATTTCTCAGGTGTCAATCTGTAGCTGGGTTGAATGCTAACTTCTTTTATCCAGCTGTACAATACAAAAGATACCCAAACTAGTGGGAAAAAATGTGGAGCATGAATGCAATATTAAATAGGAGCATATATGGAGAACTGACTAGCAAACAGGAGCCCTTAAATTTTGAAAAAACTGTTTTCCAAATGTTCAAACTAACTTCAAATTTGACAGCACTGCTTTTCTGACATTTTGTATGTTGGTCTTAATGTTTTCAATTGCATGGAGATAGTAATGTGAAGGAAAATGGGAAGATCACACAAGGGCTACATTAAGGGCAATCCTACATGTGTTTCTGATGGAAAGTAACTGAATTTGTTTCAGCTGCCATTCTTCCATCACCTTGACATCAGAAACAAAATCACTTGCAGTCAGGGACTAAGGTGGAGTGGCGTCTACATCAGCTTTGGTACCAACACCTTTTCTGTTGGACCTTCCTGACTAGTAGCTGCTCTTCAGGACGTGCCCATAGAGAAGTCTCATCAGAAGTGGAGGGAGTCAGGAAACTCATTGTGAACTTTGGACGATAGTTTCATAATGGTGTATCTGACCTACTTAGGCTTCTCCAACCCACTCCGACATCCTGGATTCCTGAATCTTTAAATTCTTAGGAGATGCAGGAGGTTTCAGCTGAGGCTGTCACCCTTCTTTTCTCCTAGATTCCTCCTTCACACGTAGCTTTTGGGTTTATAATCAAATCTAATAATTTGATCAGGAAAAAACTCAGGATCTGGCTACCTACCAGCAAGTTTCTGTGAAGTTAATAGGGGAAGGAATGAATGCATTCTGTTAATGTTTTAATGCATTAAAAGAAAAAAAATTTGACTCTCGAGTTATTTGTAAGAGACTGCAATATTGATTCATTCATACCAAGAAATTATATAAAATTTCCATCCAGATAAATATTTCAATAGAAAAAAATATGCTTTATTAGATTTTTATTAGATTTTAAGGGGAAATATATTTCTTTTACCATAAAGCCAAGAAATTATTCCTGTTGTTAAGCAAAGATTTTGAGCAACGTTTAGAACAAATTATTACATTTTGCACTGAAATCTCGTTGCAGAAAACCTCTGGAGCTTTCCTGCATTTAAGAAATGAAAGTTTCTTACTAGGAGAAATAATTTGGGCAACAAAATAATATCTTAAAAGCTACTTGCCATAAATGACCGGCCAACAGACATCACTGCAGTGGGGTCCTGGCTTTATCAGCAACCACTGTGATACAGTCTTATTTGCCCTTTTGATTTACTAGACCATGTAGAGATACATTTTCCTGTAGAAAGCTCTGATCCACTCCCCAGTCATACTGTTAAGACTATTTGTTGAATTATGGATGTGTAAGCAGTGGTATAAGGTCAAAGGCTGATCCAATAACTGTGAGGAGTAAAATCTGCTAACTTGATTAACGAGAAAGCCAAGCTGTTCAGATCTTACCAGACCCTTCACTGTAAAGATGTGAAAGCCAACTCTGTGACCTTCTGGGTCATGAGAGGAGAGTATTCAAAAAAATACAAAGATACGAATACATACTATGCACTTCTTACTAATCTAATCACAGATGATCCTTCAGGGTGGTATTTTTTGCTGCGTTTTTGCATTATAAGGGCAGTGCAGAAAGATTAAGTGAAGTTCAAAATAAGGTGCATGTGGTAAGAAAAGATGTTAAGAGAAAGGTGAAATAATTTTGTGATGACTTAGCTAATGGAATTTCCCCTGGGCTATCATAAAACTTTATACTAGATGTGTGAATAAAACAGAAGTTTTCTTTAATTCATGTGTAGATACATTTACAGAATTATGATTCTTCTTACTGTATGCAATATAATATCAGCTAAATATCAGCTAGTAGCTAAACCTATCCTGATCCTTAAGAAATGAAGATGCCTGATTGCAATATCTGAGTTTCTATATGTGTGGTTCAAGAAACTAATAAAGGCCATATATAAAAAAAACCCTTCATGCTGTCTTTTGACTATCACCATCTCCAGGTATGAGCATCAGTGTACTTAAATACTAAGATTTCTTCTGAGCCCCTGTGTTCAAGTTTCCCACTGCATCCATATTGATCTTGTGTTTGTTTCAGTCAATCAGCTAAAGAAGCTAGCCAGTCATCCTGATTACTGCCAGGATAAATAAATTTCTAGAGCTTATTTCCAAGTCCTTGTAATGTTAACATAGTTGCCTTCAAACTCTTAAGGCACAGTAATACTGGATTATTTGGTCTCTAACTCTACAAAATTAGCACATCACAAGAACTCGGCTTGTGTTTTCCTTGAGTACTTGAAAATCAAATCACCTAAAGCAAGCTGATCCTGGTCATATTCATATTTATGGGCTTAATTTTATTCATTTACCTTCAATTAAAGATCAGAAAAACCTGGAAACCAGCAGTTTTGTCTGCATTAGAAAGCAAACTTTTCTGTTTTATTGGCAAGTAGTCTGTTTATCAGATGACATGATTAACCTCCAGCAGAGATTAACCTGCAGTGCCAAACATTCCTATAAACAAATACAGATACTTTTTCTGGATCACAGGGTTTATAGAGCATGCTGGTCTGGCAGCCTGCTGCCCCTGGCATGTGTGACCAGGAGTACAGGGCACTCAGCGGTATCTTTCAGTGTAACTCCTCCAGTACTTGCCATTCTCAAATCAGAAACCACAGCTCATCCAGAACAGAGGCTCTTCCAGGTAAGGGAGCTACTGAACAATTTTCCAAATGTTTTCTAAGCTCTTGAAGGTGAATTGTGGTTCATCAGTTGAAGGAAGGAGAGGAATGAGAAAAGAATATGTGATTAATATCAAATTGCAGCCTGCCAATTATTCCCCAAATCTATTTCAGCAACATTTCAGTATCTAAGACCTGCAAATGGCAGATCGCTGTGGGTAATCTGGCCTTCAGCTTTCTCTTCTTCACCTTTAATTTCTCTCTTGGGCTTTTCCTTCTCTAGCTGCCAAAGTCCAGATGAGAAGGCCAGTCTTGAAAGAGAGCAATCATGTCTGTAATTGGCAGGAATCAATTCAGCAGGCTTTAAAGCCTTTGCTCAGAAGATTTGACCCAAATATAGACTTCAAAGACAGTTCTCTAGTTTCCTGATTCTCCAAATTCCAGATTATCCAAAGGTTTCAGGTGTTGCCTGTGTGTGATAGCTGGATAATCAAGGTTATACTGTACCACAGAGAAAAGCCAAGAACTCATTCTTTGATGTATAAAACTGAGCAGAGGTCAAAATCTCATTTGTCTCAATAAATGGTACTGCAAATGCAAATTTTAGACTTGCTGAGTCTATTAGGGTGAGATATTTCCAGTACTTGTGGTAGTTTATTTATGGAGGACATGTTAATGTTGTGCCTAATTATTGCTCTATGCTTGCATTTAGTAGGAAATAGTGTTTTTATTTCCTTTTTAAAGTCTTAACTGCTGGTTTTATGTCATTAACCTTTCCAGTCATTAAAATTAATAGGTTTTGAAATGTCTGGTTTGCTTTTTTTTAAAAAAACACTATGTGGGGATTTTATCTACTTAAAGATATCCACAACCTCCTGGGATTCTGAAGGGTCTCAATGATGATCAAAGTCCACTGATGAGGGCCAATGAAGAGGACAGTCTTTTATGCTGGGAAGCTGTAGATCTGTTCATATTGGCCGGATTGATTTTCTTTCACATTTTATATCATACCCATTGTAATCAACCTATCCTTTTAACTCATTCTGAAGATGTGCAGGCTGCAGGGATTATTATTGTCATGCTAATGTTTTTGCCCCAGTTGTATTCCATCTTGCATCTTATATTCTCAAGTGTGTTAGTGAGAATATCTCTTTTCTTCCTTGAATGGGGAAAATCTGGAGCATGGGAGTTTATAAGAACATAGAAACGGCTTTACAGGATCACATCAAAGGACCATATAGCCACTGTGCCATCTCCAAGCACAGCCATAAAACTCTTCCTTCCCTGTGGGGGGTCCATCATTTGTCAGTGTGAGGCTGACTCCTGCCCAAAGAGCTCAGTACAGAATGTATTTTTGAGAAAACATGTGAGTCTGGCTATTTTCTGTGTCCCCTTCTCTCATACTGCTCCAGCATTTGCAGCTTTTTCTGTAGGGATGCTAAAGGATTCTACTTTTTGCAAAGGTTTTCATAAAAACATGCAAAGCTTTTTTTTTTTAAGAACAAATCATTGTCAATGTTATGTCAATATTTTTGTGTATAGTAGAATGGATAGCATTATATATATAATGAACTTACACAGCACGTTAGGAAAAGAACGGGAGAGAGGCATAAGCAGATGCTTAAGGATGAGCAAGGAGGACAGACATACACGAGTTTCCATCTACTCCTCTCAAAGCCTCCATGTGTTTTCAGCTCTTGCACTGCATTTGCCTGATGTGGTTTCTCTGTGTTTAAAACTTCAGATTTCTCTTCCATTAACTTGTTCAGTCTCTCTTGAGCTCCTGTAAACTTCCAGGATCTGCAACATCTTCTGACAAATAAACTGACTATCCAATGCATGTTCATCCTACTCCTTTTGTTAGTTTTGAAGCTGGTTCCTAGTGTCACTTGAATTCAGCTGTTAATAGCTACTGTTGATAGTTCAGTATTCTTATTTCAAAATACTTTATTGATGCTTCATAAATCACTTTGTCCTTTACCTATTGTATAAAGTAATACTGTAAAGCTGAAACCCTCTATTTATAGGCTCTAATTTAGAAAATAATTGATGAAAATAGGATTTAAGCACGTATTTAAAAATAGGCACATGCATTAGGACTGACTTGAAGTGAGATTTTTAAATGTCCTAATTGCTTTACTTTTGATTTCGTAATGACTTTATGCTTGCTTGAAATGTTAGTTGTCTTAGATTCACTGTATCCAACTGCATATCCTGAATATTTTCTTTTAGCTTGGTTTGGAGAAGACATGGCAAATGAATACATCCTGCGTGGTGGAATGTCCTGTGAACTGTCAGCTCTCTGACTGGTCGCCTTGGTCTGAGTGCTCTCAAACTTGTGGCCTCACAGGTCAGTATGTACTTTTGGCATATTTTACAAACGAAGCTTTTTTTTTTTCTTTAATAAAAGTAATAGTATCTCTTTTCACAGAACTAGAAAATATAACTAGCTAGGGAGAGTGATGGGAATGTAAATCAACCTTATTCATGGAAATAATATACTTCAGTGAGACTGCACTCCATGAAGATAGTGAGAATTTGGCCCAGAGTAGTTTCTGACTCTGGGAGTAGTGAGATATGATGGGTGGTATATTGAGACAAAAATAAACACTGATGTGAATATTTATTTTTCAGCCAGTGGGTGGAGGAAAAGGAGCGAGGGATTTCCTCTTAAGTTTCATTAGTGGTGAGTTTAGAACAACTAAACTTACACAAGAACACAGTGATTAAAACCAACAAATTTACTCACCACAGAATTCCATATTTTTAAACAAAGGACAAGGGTGGGGGGACAAGTTACTTTGACTGTCATCACATTAGTTTTTCCCAAAATGTTGCTAACCGCTTTCTAAGTTTTTTTCAATCAAATCTATGTCAGAGAATGGGTATCAAAGGCACATTGTAGTTAAGGAGGAACTCTTGTTATTTATTTGCACTGATATGTCTCACAATAAGGACCTGAAAGCACCATTGTACCAGGCAACTAAGGTATACAGACTACTGAAAGAGAAGGGTAGAAGCCCACCTATGAAGCCTTTTCATTCTGTAATCGTGTCTGGAATATGTTGCTACAGATACTGGATGGTTAGCAGTGTGTGGAATACAATTTCAACTGCTAGGCTCAGAGTTAAAGGATATTGCATCTTTTTGTGTTCCTTCAGGAGTACACCACAGGGAAAAAGCCTAGGCAAAATCATTTGAAGGCTCTGGCCACCTCAGGATCCCAACCTATGGATTTTTTAATGATAACAGCTAATAATTTGATAGTGCAGTATCTAATAATGTAATAATGTTTCAGTTCTTTAAGATTCTCTCAAAGCATGACTTCTACATTCAAATAAACTACACTTCTATATTTGCAATAATCCTTATAGAGTGAGAATTGAACTAACAGTTCTGTTGAAGGCTTAAATATGTTGCTAGATTTTCCTTTACAAGCTTCTGTTTACACCCAAGACCTGAACAATTGACCTGATATTTTTCTGAATGAGAATTATTGTTGCTATGCTTTTTCAAAATGTGAAGGTGGGTCGCTATCTGAAATCCCTGTGCTTTCCAAGGATAGAATTTATTTGGGGAAGTGAGAAAATTTATTTTAAATAGTAACATAAAACAGCTTTCAAATTTTCAGTGTTTTTAACAGTGGTGACAACCTTACATGTAAGCCTTGAAGCTGTAATTTTCCTATTAGGCAGGAAGTTGGTAGTAACTGCTGTTCTTCAATAAATAGTAACCATCTAAATCCAGTGACCACAAAGCTGAACCACTTTTGTGCACCCATGCAAATACCCATAAAGTTGAGGAAGAATTCTGCATGTAAGAACTGTGCTTGTTGCTGTTCTTTGGGGTTTTTTTTCCCTGCAGTATTTTTCAAGAAAATCTTTTTTTCTCCTGTGACTTCTCAGTTGGAGCAACTGTGAATCCAAGAATTATGAGATTCCACTTGGCAAACATCTTCTAGCTAGCTGCAGTGAACACAGCTGTCTGGGAGATTGATATAGTTCTGCTGCTGCATTGTGGCTTGTGTAGCTTGCTCTTAGCAAGAGATTTGTGTCATGATCATTAGGGTGTTCAATTCCACATGCATCAGACTGAAATGTGGAATTAAAGAGGAATCGTTTTGGCCAGCTAACACTGGGTGCTATGTAGGTAAATCTATGTAATGCCTTAGTTTATTATAAGCCTCAGTATACAAATTTAAGTATATACATCTTATTTCAGACTTGATTCATATATTTATCTATACATAGATTAAAATTCCGCAGCTGGGTTGGTTTTGTGGAAACCTTTGTGAGGTGCGAACTCTAGAGCAGCCACTTTACCACTACTTCTGGCACACAAAAAAATTTTGGTTATATCACATGACCTCTCTGTAATGGAGCATAATGGTCTAATGTCCAGTGCAAGATGAAAGAAGAGTTGCCAAAAGGATACAAATGTCTTCCTCTTTCTGCTTATATAAGTATTTGAAATACAACCTGTGTCTCAGTGATGCTGGGTAGCCTGTTACTCATGGTTGAAGAGAAGATTAATGTTGGATAAACCTATTGTATTTTCATTTTCTTTGGGCCTGAGTGAAGAATCCTCTATCTCCTGCAAGATCTGTGTGTCACATTATCCAGGCAGATGATGAAGGAAAGTTGCAAGCTGTTCCTGGTTGCTGGAATCAGACAATTATGGGACACATGATTTTGTGTTAACTCGGGGAAGAACAGAACATGCTGGTCTCTTCTAGCAGCAAACTCCGGATGAGGATCCAGAATCACCACTGAAGCACCACTAACATATTGTCACATTCAGAAAGAGCATTTTTCCCCAGGGTTCTGAACTAGGAAATTCCTGCATTCGCTGTTACAGGAGCAATCTGAAATCCTCATTAGACATCCTCCTGCACTTCTTGCAGTACAAACAAATGATAGAATATACAGTGTCTGACTTGGAAAATATAAAGCCATATAACAGAGAAGAGCCAACAGATCTGCTTTACAATCCAGTTTGTCGAATGTGGAAAAAATTACTTTATTCAAACACAATGCTTTTTACCAAAATAGAACCATCTTGAAGAATAAATCAGCCTAACCACTTTGTTTTTAGTTATATTGCTGTTTCTTATTTACAGGAAAAATGATCAGAAGAAGGGCCATAAATCAGCCATTTCAGGGTGATGGGAGGCCTTGTCCTTCTCAGATGGAACAATTCAAACCCTGTCCAGTAAAACCTTGTTATCGATGGCAATATGGTCAATGGTCTGCATGCAAAGTAGAGGTAAAAGCCATATGGGATTTGGAAGTTTTGGAGCTTGTGTATCTAGGCATATTTGTGATATGCTCAGATATCTGCTTCATAACACTCTAAACAATTTTCTTCCCCCGCTCTTATACAAAAACTAAAGATTTATTCTTAGAGTTCGTATTTGTCAACAGATACAACAATGTCCTACAGATATTCAAAGTATAAATGTAAACATTGGTACTCGAGCAGCATCTTTGCTAATAATCGAAATTCTTCTACTCTAAAAGAAGGAAAGAGATTGGCATCCTAGAAGAGATCTTCACTTGACATACTGCCATGGTTGCAATTTGAAGGCATAACTAGCTCCATACTTTAAGAAACGGTGGTAGCAGCCACCAGAATTTTTTGTTTGTGTTTGTTTGTTTGTTTCAGAAGTAGAGAACAATGTCTTTATTTTTTTTCCTTACTGGAATGAATAAGTTGTTAAGCAAAAAATAGTAGGAGACAGAGTGACATGTAGCTCAGATCTAGTCTTTTGGCACTTCTGTCCAGCATCCATGTATGTCCTCCTTCCCCAGGATGCTCAATGTGGAGAGGGAACACGAGTGAGGAACATTTCCTGTGTGGTTTTTGATGGATCCATTGAAGATGTTGGCAAAGTAGTAGATGAGGAATTCTGTGGAGAAATAGAGCCTATTATAGATGGTAATAAGAAGATGATACTTGAGGAAACCTGCACTGTCCCTTGTCCAGGTAACAAAGCTTTTAAAATAAATATTGCATTTCAAGATTGGTTGGGTATCATTACAGTTACCAGTGTCTAGCCACAGGCAATTAAATCTTTTTCACATGCTTTACTGATTGGATTAATCCATCAAATGACCAACAGCATTACTTTCCGGTGGTGGCTTCATGACAATAAATCAATTAGAAAAAATACCAGGCTTTAAATTTTATAAAAGACATGTCTCAGTGACAGATTGTACCTAATAAGAATATATTTTTTCACAAAATCTTTTGAAATCAAACCTGTGTTTAACTCTGTAAGAAAGAGTATTGGTTTACAGCTAAGTATTTGCTTTAAGTGCTTAGATCACATAACAGCTTTATTAGTATTTTTAACAGTGGCAAGAAGTTGATGCCTTTTGCAGGTGTCTAAAGAAACTAAGCTAAAGAGTCTTATGTTTTTGTTTGAAGGGGCTATTCCAAATGAAACTAATGTTTTGATACCTGAGAAAATGTTTTGCTAGCTGTTTAACTCACTGGACGTGACATGCACTATCATTGCCTTTGTAGACTGAGTCCAAAGGAGCTGTTTTAAATGGTCATACTGAGAAGGATTAAGAGCCTATAACAACTGTTTAATTTCCAATAAAACCCCTCCAGTTCATTTCAAACACTTATTTGTAGAATTTGAAGTATATTGTTGTTGTTCAATAGAGTCATTAATGATGTATCTTCAGAAGCAATGATTCAGTTCTAACGTAGCTATAATTCCATACCAGTACTCTGGTTTTGTTCTCTTGCAACTCTCCTTTTTCTCAGAATTTTTTTTTGGTTCATTTCAGATTGGACTGAAGTTGCCTCAATAAATAGAAAATAATCAAAAATGGAGAGGCTTCCATCACTACTTTGTGCACAGCATTCCAATTGCAAGATTTTCACATATATTTACTTATTAAATAAAAATTGGAAGAATAAAAAGCTTTTAGTTATGTTTTCTTGTTAGTCAAATTTATAAAAAAAAATATAGCTGCTTAGTGCTCGCTTTTAAAATTTTGCTGAGCAGGAACCTGTTCTTCAAAAATGTCACATTTAGCCAGCAAGAATAACTGCCCTGTGGGGATGTGCTAATGATATGCTCCAACTAATGTTTCCAAAAATCACTACTTGTTTTCCTATTATGTATACATCAGTTCTTCAATTATTCATTTCTTCACATGCTTTCCTAACATTGGCAAATAAAATTCCTTCATTAATCAGGCATCTGGTCAACACAGTACTGATTATATCTGTCATCAGTATAATGCAAGGTAGCATGAATTTTTAATAGCTCTTTCACTGAAATAATGAGAACTAAGAGGTTTATTTATGAGTCTGTGCACAGTCGAGTCCCATTTTCTACTGCAGTTTTAACAAAATGGTCTCTTTGTGTTGTGCTTCAGATCTTCCTTAAATGTTCTTTAGCTGATCATGTTAATTAGTGTCATTAGTATAATTTTTTTTTCAGTTTTACACTATAAGATAACATTCTGCAAATCTTTATTATCCTAACATGAAATAGCCAAAGCAGACATTTTAATCACCTTCCCATTTCCCTTTCTTTCAAAGAACGTTCCAGCAGTTGCTTCTACTCTCTTTTTAGAGAAATTCTGCATGAGGATGAGCAACAATTAATCTTTTTAAAACTACACAGTGTTGTCTCTTTCTAAGATCAAAGAAGAATTGTGAACAAGATATATAAATTTAGTGTGAGGCATACCACGCACAATACCCTAACATTTACAAATATCTAGACATTGTGCGGAGTGTTACTCAGAAATTCAAAATGAGAGTGATCTTACGGGAATGCTACAGGAAACTATCCTGCTTTGGAACGAATAGGCTTTTGTATAATCTTTTTATTACTATTTTCTACTGCACAGATATTCAGAGAGTGTCAAAATATTATCTTCTCTTAAGTATATGTCACTTTTTAAAAGAGGAATGAAAGGAACTATAAAGAGGCGAAAATTAAGAAACCAGATTTGGACTTTTTTTTTCTAAGACGTATTCAGTGCAAAAAACTCTTCACATATGATGACTGTGCATCTTATAAAATTGCTGTTTGACAGGGGACTGTTATTTGAGAGAGTGGTCAGAATGGAGCCTTTGTCAGCTAACCTGTGTTAACGGTGAGGATCTCGGCTTTGGAGGGATACAAGTCCGATCTCGGGCAGTGATCATTCAGGAATTAGAGAATCAACATCTCTGTCCAGAACAGGCTTTGGAAACAAGATCATGCAATGGTAAGCACCAAAATATGCATAAGACCACTTCCTGTAAGAAAAAAATACTGAACAACAATAGTTTTGTTTTCTTTCTGTTCATGGTATCAAATTTAGGCAAATACGGATTTGATAGATGTAGAAATGCACTTAAATTTTTGTTTTCCACATATCAACTGTAAACAGAAAAACTTTCAAATGCTAACTATCATATGTTACCACTTTAAACACAGTCATTGGAGAATTGATGATCCTTTTTTAATAATAAAATTTCTTTTTATGATATGGGAAAAAATAGTTGCCTCATCTGCTTGATAACATTAATGAAAAGAAATCTTCAAGTTTTGATACATAACCAAATTTAGATTTCTCTCTACCCTTTGAATTGTTGTTAATCGCATGACAGTGACATTAATAAGTCTCAGTCATGCTTACTGCTGGTACTGGACAAAGTATCTAAGAAAAGTTGTTTCCTATACAGACATATCTTGTGCATTCAGAGGCCAGACAGATCAGGCAAAAAGGAATTTTATTTTTATAAGGGAGCTAAGGTGCAGAAGGACTTCATGATTTATCCCAGGACGTATGAGAGGTGCACAGCACAGCTGAGACATGAAGCCAGATGCGGCCCAGGCCACTTCACCGAGTACTGGAGCATTGACTGAAGCTCAGTGTTACCAGGAAAGGAACCTGACTCCTAAATGAATTTTGTGCAACAGATGGGCCACAACCATTATGAGCTTATTGGAAACATCTGTTTCGCCCAATAACTACATTAGAGTTCTCCAGGAGCAGTGTGTACAGCCATTACAGTTAGTGCCTGGGACACATCTGATCTATTCTGTATGTATCCAGTAAGTGCAGGAGACGGGGCCTGCATGTGTGCAGTGCACCCTTCTAAGTTGCTGGGTGAAGAAGGAAGGGAGATACTTAGCCATAAAAGCCATTAAACATTAATAATGAGTATGGCCTACTGATGAGTGTGACTGCCACTGGTGGTAACCTAAAATCTTGTCATCAGATTTCTTGAAAAGTGAATGTTCTCTGTGTAGATGGCCAATGCTATGAATACAAGTGGATGGCTAGCCCTTGGAAGGGATCTTCTCGAACCGTGTGGTGCCAAAGGTCAGATGGTTTAAACGTCACAGGTAACTACTCTTTTTATATACACACAAAAACCTGGAAAACAGGTGGATAGTGTCTTTTCCCAACAAATGGATGATTTTTTTTTCAAGAATCTGCTAAAAAACTTGTTCCTGATGTATGAATCAACATGCCATTGTCTTGAATGACGATGTTTTTGCATACTAAAGATGTCATTTCTTTTCCAGAACTATGCAGTATATAATACTAAAAGTAAATATAAATAATATTTTCTGTACTGGACCTGGAATGTTTTATGTTGTATATTGTTTTTACCATAGACATCTTTACACTTCTAAATTTAGTGTTTCAGACTTCAAACCCTACAACAAATAGAACTTTTATGTATTAAAGTACATTTCACTGCCTATACAGAGGCAGAGGGAAGTAAAGCTTGATAATATCGTGCATGTATCATGTATCTCCTTAAAATTACAAAATATAAAATTTTAATAAATGTGCTAATATAAGTTTATTTCTTTACTTCAGTGACATAAACCTATAGCAGGATACTTCAGTGGACAGCTATGGATGTAGGTACTCTTCATGCAAACCAAAGCACAAAACACCATATAATTAAGAATGATGGAGATCTCCAAATTCAAGCAAAACTTCATATAAACCTATTTATTTGATTTTATTTGTCAGAATTAGGGATTCATTTAAGCTAAGAGTTACACATTTGTTGTTTAAATGATTTTTATATCAGCCCAGGTAGTAGTAAAAGAATCCCAGAGATTGTAAGCGCATCCTCAATGCCAGCCATTGTCAGGTCAATCACAGGAGGGGAGCTCTAATTCATGGACTGCCGATACAATACTTCTTGATGATGGAATCCACCACTACTGTCTGTTGTAACAGTAGAAATAAAAGATCTGTATTATTTTTACAAGGTTTTGAAATAATACTTAGTAGCCCAAAGTCTCTTTTGCATGTGTCACCTTGTGCTGTAAGAATATTAAAATGCATCATCCTCATAACGAATGCAACAGGGCATTATTTATGCACCTTGATTGCTTCCTGCCTAGCTAAGGTGCTTGTATGATAAGTAAAACTCTACATGAGAATTCTTATTGAGATTAATATATGATATCATCAATTAAAATTCCTACAGGATTTCAAAATAAATAGCATGTTGGTGATTATGGCTCTGAGATGTTAAAATCAGAATATATTCATAAATCACAGTCAGTCACATAAAAATAATAGTTTGTTCTGATGTGACTGAATACAGCAATGTGATAAATTCAAGTGTATGAATATGTGTTGTTGGCAGATTTTTCATGATGCGACCACCTAGGCAGACTAACCTCAGACCTATATTGTGTCTCTTTTTTCAAAGTTTATTTGTATGTGGTTTTAAAGCTGTGGTAACTTTCTTATTTGAAGTGAAAACTAGTCAAAAGTTCCAGGCAATGTAATCACCAGTTTCCATGAAATGCAAAACTATATTATTATATAGTTCCTGATAGTTTTCAAACAAAGCACTGAAGTATAATATTCTGTGAGAACTTCTCTGCATAAAGTATACAGTTGTGAACCAGTTTGTAATTTACATTTGAATTTTTTTTGAAAGTGGTTTGTATAAACTACAGTATTTAAGAGCTCAAACTGATAGATGTACATACACAACTAATTTAAATGGAGATTACCTATTTTGATCCATAATCAACCCATATCTCTGATTACTGTGTTTCTTTGCTGCCTTATTGCTGCACATTTGGCTCTTACATAGTGTATTTGAATTCAGACATTATAAAATTTTTATTATGAATCCTGTTGGTATTTTAAGACCTTTATTTATTTACTTACTTGCATAATATTATTGTGCTGAATAGTTCTTTTTTACTTGAAGGTGGTTTTTCCCATGGGCGATGAGGCAACTCTTTCCTTCTGCAGCTTCCTTGGATGACTGATATTTTATTACATAGATTCCCACAGGCATGTGATTTGTATGCTAGGATGTACAATTTTCCTTTCTGGGGGTGGGGAAAACTTACGGCAATGAGCAGGCTTTTCTTTGTTCTTCATCGGCCATCCTGTTAACACTTGGATCTGCATAACCACATCTAACTGCATCTGCTATGGTCATGACCAACCTCAGCTATCAGGATTTCATCATCATATCACAGCAGTATTAAAATGTTATTAATTTGGGAGATGCAAGATAAGTTGTCCTGTAGCAATACAAATTTTAACCTGTGTCCCTCTTCTGTAAGTCAGAAGGAAATGCAGGTAAATTTAAACTGATTCTAAATGTATTTTAAAGTCATTCTGGCTGAAATGATAGTGAAAGCCTGATTGTGTGTATTGGTCCATAACAATAACTGCACTGTACATAAAGCTGTAGAAATGTGAACTAAGACTGTAAAAAAAAAAAAGGAAAAAGATTGAAACCCACTCTATCATCAGTATCATAGCATTCTGTAAATGCTGTACTGACAAAACCTCTGCTTCTGAAAAATCTTAGACTAGGATGAAGTGTGATTTCATAAGAGGCAAAGCTATAGCATGTGTAAAAGTGACTACTGAGGAGCAGCAGAAAACAAGTATCTCTTCATAAACTGGATGAGTAGTTTTGTTTTCAGTTTAACAGGCAAAGATATAAATAAAAAATACAGTTTTACTTTCTTTGTGGACACAGTTTTAATATGTAAGTTATAAGGAGGGCCCTAGAGAACCAAAATCTGTTCCCTCAAGCACAACAAAACATTTAAACTGTTTTTTGAGCAATCCACCAAGGGAACAAAGGGAAAACAAAAGGTTCACTTGCCAAATATTAGTTCTCTAAAATGCACATGAATGCAAATGCATGTGCTATATCCTTACTCTATCTATAAGAAAATACTTGATACCAATTATCCTTCACCTCGGAATAAGAGAAGGACTGTTAAATTCAAATTAGCAATAAAATTGTAATCCATGACATACTGTAGCAAGTAATGACATCAGTAATTTCGTCAGTGGTGAGGTATTACCATGTCAAAATATGATTTTCTGTCCTACAGGGGGCTGTTTAGTGATGCGCCAACCAGATGCTGACAGGTCATGTAACCCACCGTGCAGTCAACCCCACGCTTACTGCAGTGAGGTATGTGCTACTGCATTGGAGCATAAAACACCCCCGTGAGGGCTTCCCACACATCTCTCTGCATTACAAAGATTATGCCAACAAAAAGCATTTGCAGAGATTTTGCTAATCGTTACTTTGTTAAAATCAACCTCAGACCATTTTCTACCTTCCAATTAAATGTTGAATAATCTCTATTGTTTAGTACGAACCTGCATAAAAATATATGAAGGAGGTACTCTCCAGGCTAGCACTCACCGAAACAGTCTTCTCTTCCACTCATCCATGTTGTAATGCTTTATAGCTCACAGAAAACTGTGTTTTTCTGCTACGCAGTGTAAAACACTTGTTCTCTACAGACTAGAACGTGCAGTTGTGAAGACGGATACACTGAAGTTATGTCCTCCGATGGCACACTTGAACAGTGCACTCTCATCCCAGTGGTGGTGATCCCCACCATGGAGGACAAAAAGGGAGATGTGAAAACCAGTCGAGCTGTGAACCCCACCCAGCCCTCCAGTAACCAGTCAGGACGAGGAAGGACCTGGTTTCTACAGCCTTTTGGACCAGGTGAAGTCATGCAATGAGCAGTTCTTAATGCTAAGTACTGCTGCAGGGTCTGGCATTTACATTTTTTGTGATGCCAAGGAGGAAGAAAAGAAAAACTCTTAAGTGTTCATTTAAGAAGACAGGCATCTGCCCTGACTGAAAAAAAAGAAAGAGACATAAGCAAACCCCTAGCCGCCTTAGCTACTCCATCAATATATGTAATGAAATCTTGTATTGCGGAAGATTTCCTTTTAATCCCTTCTGCCTGTTAAAATTCACAGAAGCTATTTGAAATGTGACTTTAGAAGGGAGTTGGCTGCAAAAGTTCAAGCCAGGATATTATATTATGCTGTCTCAACCAATAATGCTGTTGACAGAGGAGTGAAAAGGTAGCACTGAAGACTGCAGAGGGTAAGGGATGTTTAAAATTGCAGCCATAGTATAAACTGTAGGAAAATAATCCTTATAGATAATGCTAATGCTTTTCTACCATACACATGTTTAAACTAATTCATGTTAGACAGGAGCTAACCATATTACTGACGTTTAGCAGAGACATGCTCTAAGTCTCTGTAGGCCATACTTGCTTTTATGATGGACATGTTCTTTAGAGCTGGGCAAGGACTTATGTGCAAGAGTGGCAAGAAATATAAGACAATTATCCCGTCAAAAATACTTTTATAAAGTCCATCATGTAATCAGATTTCAGTAAATATTTCCTGGTACTATTAAGCATTGAGATAAATAAAACTTTAATTAACAAAATACTTTCACAGAAAGAGATACAATGCTTGTCCAAAATGTTAGTGATATGAAGAGAGCAGTTGGTTATCTTCTTAAGTGTCTTTTAAACCACATAGAGCTAAATATTCTAACACACTTCTGTCTTTGGATGTTCATTTCTTTCTAAAGCTTTTATGAATGTTTTTATTCTGAGATTTGAAAACAGTTTCTTTACGTGTATAATCTGTAAAATGCTGCAAATTAAGAACTACAGCAATACTTCTAATAAGCAGATTAAATCATGTTTGGGTTAGAAATACTTGTGTTAGATCCCATTAGTCCTACTAGTATTTACTGTTATTTGTACTGTGATAATATATTTGATACCTGCAATAAAATGGTCTTTACTCCAATTAGTTAGTACTTTAATCCACAATAAAAAAAGAAAATAAAGATTTTCTGGTCCTCCTTTAAAAAATAGCATCTTATCAAATATGTTATCGTTTGCTTATTCTAGGTAACACCACCTGAAAATGCCAGAGAGTGGGTTGAAACAGCCATAGTGCCAACAATAAGCAAATGTCAGACAGGTGCCTTCAGCTATCTAGGAACATGGATGCTCCTGTGAGCTCAGGTGTGGGTTTTGGAGCAAGGAACAGTTGAGAGATTTCATGAAAACTCACCAATTTTCCAGTAATTAAAGTTAGGAAGGAAACATAGCTCAGCTCAGATAAAAACAATGATATTCAATAGAACTGATACTTTATCCAGTGAAGGTATGAGCAAATGTGGAAGAAAGTGAACATTTTGCACTTCATATAAGATTTATGCTTGATTATTTTAATTCCAGGATTGGCTATCTATGGGAAAGGTTTTGATTTACTCTAGCATGATTATTCCTTTCCTCACAGTTTCTAAGTCTAGATTTAAAATGGTTCTTTCACTGTCCTCAACAAATTATATTGCAATTCCAGAAAGGAAGGTATTGAAACCATCTGCTTCAGGTGTCTGTGCTGATATATTACCCAAAACAGATGAGTTTGGGATGCCAATTCTCTTGTATACTTAGAAATAACCTGTCCAGGGGGAATCCAGAAAGCCTGAGTTAGACGCCTGTAGTTGCATAATATGAATGACCTCATTAACAGAGTTCCCTGCTTTGATAAAAATAAATAAATCCATACACAAGGTAATGACAGTCTTTTTTTTCAAGGAGATCATACTATTTTAAAAGAAGCAAACCCAAAACAACCCGAAACCCTTTACATTTACCAATAGAAATAAGTCAAGGAGAGAAGAAACTAACTTATTTAGCAGTATGGAGTCTGAATTCCCCTCATTCATATTATCATATCATTGGATATGTCAGGTCAAATCTACTGTTCAATCCATCTTTAATGGATCAGTTATTCCCATTATATCAGTTTTATCAGTTATAATGTTTCATTAAGTTGATTAATGTAATAAAGCTAAAGTGTTTTTATATTAATTAGTCTTAAACAAATTGTCCACATGACTGCAAGACTTTGCATTGATAGAGAACAGAAAGTCTGAACTTAATTGCACAGCAATAGAGAGATCTACTGTGAATCTGAGCAAAATCAGTCTGACGAATTTTTATTATTATTAAGTTGTAGAAGCATCAACTGCGTTGATAATGCCTTTTTGTTCTACAGAGGTATCAGGACGCAATAAGTATTTGGTCAGAAAAATTTTAGCTGTGTTTGCTTACATTGAAAACATACATGACTTCATGAAATAAAAATTTTGCCCCTTGTAAATAAAATAATTCAACTTTTTTATGGACTTTTCATTGTCAATGAGGTGCAACAAGGCTAGCTAACCTCCTGTGAAAGAATATTTTCAAAAAGCCATTTAGAAATTCACAAAAGGAGTCAGATAAAAGTACTGAGTTAAACAGTACGCACTGACCATGGGTTGTGACCTGCTCCTTTGGGATTCAGAGCAAAACCCCGCAGATGGAGAAAGTCACACTGTTTTTCCTGGGAGAAGTGGGTGCATGCGGGATCAAGGCAATTAGGAGAGTGGGATGTAAACCTCAGCCTGCAGGGATGTCATGTCCAAAATACAAACTGCACAGGCTGCACATAAATACAGTCCTTATTAACAACAGAAAGTTGTTCTATTCATGAGCACGGATTATCTTTTTTGGTGTATTTTTTTCTTATTCTGTGAGGAGAAGTTATTTTATAACAATAAAACTTACATTTGGTAGGGGAAGAAATTGAAAAATTATTACTTTATGCAGTAGTGAAAGTTGTGTATGTGCAGTTAAGCTATGGAAGAGAAAAAACATGCTAAAGGTGTTTAAAAACATAAAATTAAATAGCAACAATGAAAATAACAGGCAGATTGATTTATCGGAGCTAGAATGGAAAGTAATGCTAACAGTGTAAACGAGTCCCGGGCTGATAACCTGCCCTGCGATCCCTCTGAAGGATTGCCTGCTACCAGCGGGCCCAGGGGCTGGGTTTCTGGAGGTCTTGCTGCCTCTGCCCTACATCTTGGCTCCATTTGGATTATCCAGACTTCGACTGAAAAGCAGAACACAAGTGCACAGAGAAGCTACTGCTCAGTTGTTTAATAATATTTACTCTTATTAAGCTGTAATTGCTAGTGAAGACATTTATTTTGGATTATAAAAGTATTTCTATACTATATCAGAACTAATAATTCAACAAGACTAACTCAAACACTACTGACTAACATTCATTCCTTTTAGATGGGAGGCTGAAGACCTGGGTTTATGGTGTAGCTGCTGGTGCATTTGTTTTACTCATCTTTATTGTTTCTATGATCTATCTAGCCTGGTGAGTTCTTTAATTATTTACAAGCAAGCAGTCCCACACAGACTGTAATGCAAGCGTTTACATATGCCACTGTAGAAACTGCTGGCACTTCTGTGAACTGTTCAATTCTCCATGCCCTTTTGTCCAAGCTCAGTTTAGCAGACTCTGATTGTAGTCTAGATGATGGATAATCACATACACTCCTGAGGATAGAAGAACTCCTTACAAATATGGGATAGCTTACTGTATATTTTTGTTCAGTTTATCTCTGTTAAGAATGTGCTGTGTCTATGATAATTTCATTGTGTCTATATCACAAAATGCGGAGAGAAATAGCAAGAAGGAAATTCAGTAATCAGGCAAGTCAGATTTGATGATTGGCAGGATATAGAGATATACAACCAAAAAAAAGTCTGAAAACCTTCTCGTGTGTTTTTCATACATTAAATAATATTTTGTTGAAAAATCTTAGTGCATCTGAAAGCAAAGATTTTTTGCATGAATAAGTCACCTTTGAGAATGCTTTCCCTGAAGCTTTCTAGGTCCTGTTTGGAATTTCTGATCCAAATGACTGTGCAGGTGGAAGATGAGGGAAGTGTGGTTGTGCATTAGTAGGCATTTTGGGGGCTTCTGGATTTGTTTGGTTTTTAGTAAACCTTCCCCAAAATCTCACTTCTGTCTGAGTAAGGAACAAAGTCTTTTTTTTTTTTGAGGAAAAGAATATCCATTAGCATGCAACTTCACTGCAGATTCTTTGCACTGGTATTTGTGGCCACTGCAAGCCACTGTAACAGCTGGTTTGGTAACAAAGATTTAGATTTGGGAAGCCTTAAGTGACATAGCTGAGGTAAGAGTTTGGATGAGACTGAGGCTGCACAGGCCTGATTTAAAGAAATACTTATATTACACTCTAAAAGAAGACAAGTACTAAAGCACTCATAAACATGCATTTACCTTTGGCTTGGTCATTTTTTAAAACTGTATCAAATGGATTGGAAATACTGCTAGATTAAAATCTAATTCAAGGCTAGACAGGGAATGGTTGTGGCTAACAACCATATCCCTGCTATTTGTGACTGGTTTGATTATAACATCTAGAATTAACTGTAGTCATTCCAGCAAGTATAATGAAATAAAACTAATCAAAAGATGGAACTGTCCCGTGGAAACCCTTGATGTGTTGAGAGAGGTTAAGATTTGAGTCACGTAATTTAAAAGAACCTGATTGTGGCTTTGATACATGACCAAATAGTGCACTGCAGGCTCTGGGTTCTTCTGAAAACTGACTGACCTTGCAGGATTACCTGCCAAGGATTTCATCAAGTCACATCAGTGCCGTATCAGTCTGTTTCTGAACAACTGAGTTTTGAACTAGATGTTGCTTTGGCTTGATAAGGAGATAATTACTGATCCAAGTGAAGGTTTTAGGCTTATAGCTTTTACAAATGAGCAATCAAATACATTATCTTAAAACAACACATTCATCTTTCATTTAAGACTGAAATCCATCTTTGCTACGTTATTAGTTTCTTGTTCTATTTACAAATTATCTTATTGTTTCAGCAAAAAGCCAAAGAAGCCCCAGAGAAGGCAGAACAACCGACTGAAACCTTTAACCTTGGCTTATGATGGAGATGCAGATATGTAAAATCTAACTTCTCATGGTGACAAATGGAGCCTAATTAATGGATTGAAATCAGAAGGTATCCAAAGCCACAGGGGTTTTCTATGGAGTGGATGAAGTGTTTTGACTTTTTCTTTTTTGTAACTGCACCATAGATAAAGAAGGATGGATTTCATAATGCCTACGGATATTCAAGGTATTATTGCTTTACTTTAGACCATCAGCACTGAGAAATCTGGCAGAATCACATTAATAGACACTGCAGTGGGAGATTTGTGGTCTTTCCTCAATCTTACAAACTATAAGCACCACTTCTGTCTCCAGAATACTGTAGGTGACATACTGTTAACAGTTGGAAGCCCCTGCAACATTAACCAAGTATAATCAGTACGCATGAAGAGTTTGTACCAAGCTATGACTTGTTATATTCAAGCATAACATATATACTCAGTTGAACCATGTGTATTACTCTATCAGATTATATACTTGTTAAAGAGCATTTTAGTGCTTAGTACAATATTAACTTTTAACTGGGATTAATCCACTGAGCAAGTCCAACAGTTTGCCAGTTGATGATAACTTGTGTTAACCTGCATTTCAGAGGGCAATGACTCACTTGCAAAATTCTGTCCTGTTACCACTCCAAAGTATAAAGGCCTCATATGCACATCCAGAAAGGAGGCATTCTCAGATTCAGTATTTTCTAGCAGTTGCTGTCTGGAAAAAGAATACCCATTGTAAATGTTACAATACGTTTCTACTTTCTCTAACTCAAACTGTTGCCTGCATCTTTTTTGCTACATGTAAGGCAAATTTTTGCACTATATTAGTGCAGCATGATATGCACTTAACTAGTATTGCCATAGAAACTGCCTCTTTTCAGAAAGGATGATGATGTATCTTGTGCAAGGAGTGTCAAGTAGACAGGTCTTGAATCCTGAAGAGAGTAGCGTTTGGTTTGGACTGCGACTGGATGGAATCAGCTAACGACGTGTACTGTACACACCATTCCTTGTCACAGCGGCCATTTGTAGTCTATATCATGGCAGTAATACAAGTGTCTAGTTTCTTGCCCCATCTACCTATACTGGTATAGATTGTCCTGCTGGTTTCTAATTGTACTTTGAAGGCTGTTTATGACTAGATTTTTTATATTTGTTAACTTTGTTAGAAAAAAAAGAAAAGAAAAAGAAAAGTGGTTGCCCTATAATCTTGAGTGACATACTTACTGTCTAAAAAGGTATTCTGATTGTTTGTTAAACTAAAATAAAATGGTTTTGCTTTTTTTTCCTTCTGCTAGTGAGAGCGTTTTCACTGTTGCTGACAGTGCAATACTCAGAGCCCTTTTGTCTTTTCTAATTAGGATAATTGGATAGACTCTTTTAATTATTCAGTTAAACCCTTGAGTGTACTGGCAAGTAAATAATAAGATCAATAGTTCTGCCATTTTAATACTCATGACTGTTTAAAAAACTATGGCAGTATAAAAACTTACTGTTAACCTCTTCCATGCGTATGGCTTTTCAGTGTTACACTTTTGACATGAAGCTCATTGACTTGCCACTGTATCTACATGCCGGTTACAGATGTGATTCATGACCTGAGGAAGGTTATTCTCATCAGATGGCTTCTATGTGTAGCCTGAATATAGAAGTGACTGTGCCACTACTAAGCAATACAAAACTTTATCAGGCAACCTTTCAAAAATAATTGTTATATAAAGTTCAATATTAGGTTCTCAGGTCTTTTTTATAACCTAAACCGTTTCTGCCTACTCATCACACTATTTACTCAAGAAGCACCAGTTTTTGCACACTGAATAAAACTGTGGCTTTGCAAACTTTGGCCCAGATCCACTGAAACTGATGACAAGACTCTCGTGGACATCAATGGGTAACATCAGTCCTTAAAAATACCTACTTTCGTTCCATGTAGAATAATTCTTGGAACCAATGTGCGTTCTGTGCAATGTTCAAGAGAGATTGTGATCCTCCTTTAACTAACTGAGCTAACTTACATTACCAGTGTGGTGTTACTGCATCAAGAAATTATCTTCCTCCCACTGCATAAGTGTTTCCCCAAATGGGAATGATGAACAAAGAGGAACAATAGTAACAACCTTTTGTACAGGTTTAATTTCTCATTTTATACCTTGATCTGGCCACAGCTGGTGAAGTGCCATGGCCCCCTGCCACAGCAGTGATTCATTCATATATGTGTTGCAGGACTGAGGGCTTCAGTCTTACATTGCTTTGTAAAGATTCATAGGAAAAAACCCAAATCTTGATGAATTTAATTACTTCAGCATTCTTGAGTAGAAAACAAGAAAAACCTAGTTGATTCCTATTTTGTCAGACACAAAAAATAACATGGAAAAGTTATAAAGTTTTAAAGAATGATAACTATCACATGATAACATAATAGAATGATAACAACGTAAAGCTTAATCACCATTTCTGTACTTTTAGAAGTCTGATTCTGTGTTGTCAAATAGTATTGGACCAATAGGGAATTGAGAGAACAGGGTTTCTTTCATTGGCAATGAGTCATCTTTATTTTTTATACTGGCTTGTCTTAGCAGGAGCTGTTGCCTAGTTCTGGCCTTGAAGATTTTTATGTCCTAAATATAAGAATTTAATAACTTGAAGTTAAAGGTATGCCATCTCCTTTTTCTCACTATATAAAATGGACAAATGAAGAAAGAGATAGGAGGGGGTTTTTTAAAGTATGTTTGACCTTTGCAATCCATGTGAGTATTTTAGTATATGTTACATTTTGTATCTGGTCAGTGATTTTTGCTGGTGCACATCTGCATCATACTAGTGCTGCATTTAAAATCTAGAGTGCATTTTTATTATTTTTTTTTATGAACAAAGTGCATGGAAATTTGAAGCCTTGTTATCAAGGAAAAAATATTAGGCTATAAGGAGGGATGAAATTTTATATAAAGCTAAAAGTTGCAAACGTGATTAACCCCTTTAGCACTGAAATAGGAATAAATAATAGGTGAATTATCAGTATAGAATGAAAAGCAATTTGCTTTAAGAATCAGAATGCTTCTACAAATCCAGTGCCTAAAGCAGCCACTACTGTAGATTGTTAGTTTGTGAACGTAATGTATCCAGTGATCAAATAAACCATTCAGAAATTAGCGAAGTAGACATTTTCCTGTTGATGTGGTGGTTTGTATTTTCCTTTTTAAATCTGTAGTTTCTAGATTACTGTGTCTGCTTTGAGTCCTGGAGCAGTTCCTTTTTGAAGCTGTGATGCAACTGCACACATTTGTTTATATTTGGTATAAAGCATTAATTTTGAAACTCCCTTCCTGCTGTCAAAATGTAATAAAGTTTTTTTCCTATATTACAATCTGAAGAGACCAATTTAAAAACTATATGTATAAATCACTGTAAAATATACCTTGAATGAAATGGAAATTTGTCTTTTACCTTTATGTAAATTGTGCTTACCCAAAGTTAAGAGTTTATTTTGCCTAACTTAATTTACTTGAATATTTATTTTGTAGAACAAGGAGGCAGCTGTCAGGAATGTTTACTTTCTTTTGTTAATGTTAATTTGTAAATTGTGTAATGCATTTTTATTTTTTAAATTATGTATATTTCTTTTTTAATGCACAAAATGTTTACGTACAACCACTGCAAATTTGTGTATATTGTCACTAAGCTTTATTCAGTTAATACAGATGCATGAAAATGTAACAAGTCTTACATTTTCATCTGGGTTATTTTTACGTAACTGATGTATTGCTGACAATAAATATAAACACAAAATCATTTAATGTCTGTTTTTAATAGATGTAGTATTCTATGCTGGGATAGAGTAACAATAAAATCCAGATCCCTAAAATATGACCACCTTTTAAATAGTCTCTTTTTTTTGAAAGACATTATCAAAAATATTCTTCTTAAAAATTAGTATTTCTTTTTAAAATAAAGGGAAAAAACCTTTCTGATGTTGTGATAACTATCAAAGTCAATTGCTACATTCTTTGTTGACTTAGATATTTATTAATTAAATATGCATTGTAAACTTCTAATAAATGCAATAAATCAATGGTATTTTAAATTTTCTTCCTTAATTACCAGTTTTAGGTCAGAAAAACCAACCCATTTGTGGTGACTAAGGGGTGGATCAAGATCTCACTAAAAGACATCTATTCACTTCAGTGAAGCTGAATCTGTCCCTGTCCCTATACAAGGAGCAAGGAGCAAAATCCTTCTCCTCCAAATAAACAAACACGCCCAGTGCAATCAATAAAAATGTCATTTTCACCCCAGTTGTTGAATAAACATTGCCAAATTCACTCTAATTTCTTCTAGAATCAAGAGTTTGTTGTTGATTACCTAAGAAAAATAGTGACTCTGCACTTTTTTTGTAACTGCTCGTATTCTATTTCTGTGCTCTCCAAAACTCTTTTTTTTTCATGTCCATTTCTGCAGCATACATTTACACAGCAGTTCATGGGGTTTTGTCCAATTTCAGTAGTTATTACCTCCCCAGTAGCCCTTCCAGTAACCCTTAAGAGGTTTAAACCCAATTTTGAGAGCACACAACTCTGATTTTAGAGGCATTTCAGGTTTTTCAGAAGTGCCTTCTACCTACATTTTCTCCTGCTGGAATCCACAGTAAAAGAACCAACACATTGGACTAGTCTTCCCACCGAAAATTTAATAGAGGAATTTTTTAGATCACTTAAAGTTGTTTAACTCAGTACAGGCAGAATTCTACAAACAGTTAAAAAACATACTTCAGAGAAGAAAATTTAAATTTTCATTTAAACTCTAAAGAAGAGAATTACCTATACGGTCTTCACATTCAGTAAAGAAAACTTGTGGTAGGACTTTGGCAGGTGGTTGCGAGACTTCTAAAGTAATGGCTTACAGATTGGGAAATGTATTCTTTATTCTAAAAAATATTAGGAGAATCTAGTTTTCCAATACAAGTATAATGAAAGGAGATAAATAGGTAAATCAAGATGCTTAGGTAAGCCTGGTAAATATTTTAGCCTTCTGGTAATGTGAAAATCTACAGTGTT